ATGTTGACGGCAGATCCCGTCATGAAAGCGCAAATGGCCGGGAGCGAGATGAACTCGACAAGCCAGCCGAGGCGAGCGAGTCCGAGAAAGAGGATGATGGCGCCAGTGATGATGGCAAGGGCAGATGCCACAACGTGACCGGGAACATTGGGGAGTTCATCTTTGGCTTTGAGGACAATGTTTCCTGTAACCTGAGACATGACGGCAACAGGCTGCAGCACACCAGTGTCAGCGTTTATGATATTCCCGGTAGTAGTTTTCCGGCGCAGTATCTCAACTCACACCGATGGTAATGTCTTTTGAAGTAGCAAAAAACCAATAGATCAAAACTCCCATGAAGGACGTGTACAGTCCATATTCGACATCAAGCTGAGCCAACTGGGCATATGCCATTCCCTGGGGGACGACGACAGCGCCGACGGTAATGCCTGGATTACTGTTAACCAAACAAACTGGATGGCCGCAACATGCTCCAGGACAGGCAACTCACCTGCAACGAGGTCGCCAATCAGCCAAGTCAGGTTGTATTTGCCGATCCAGCGGACAAAGGGAAACAGGTTAACGAAATAATTGATGACATTTTGGAGCGAGGGCGTGATTTCAGCAAGGAATTCGCCGACGGTGGGTTCTTCCTCAATAAAGAGGTCCGCATTCGATATTGAAGGGACATCGTCGTCTCGACCATCGGAATCGTAGCCTACGGCCTTGGCCAAACGGCCCTTGATAGATGGTGTGGACGTCATGACGGCGCAGGTCAAGGTCAACGCCCCCCGTGGAAGGCTGGCGAGAAAGATTCGCCAAGAGAACTCGGAGATGTGTCCCGTATGTGAAGATAGAATGCAGCCAAGAATTATCCCTTTGCTTGGCTGCGGAACGCTGATGTGACAGCCACGAGAATGAAAGGAGACGACGGTGTTCTTGGTACGCCGTGACCAAGGTGTGGAAGGACTTAGATCTTATGTGAGCCTGGGCTAGCCAGAGGCCCAGAGCCTCTCCCAGCTTTTCTCAGCTTTTCTCAGCTTTCCGCAGCAACACAAGCCCTTGGTAATTTTCCGTCCATTCGCTCATCCACCCTTACCCTTATCCATGGCCGAGAGAAACGGGAACAGCATCGGGACCGGCCCCCAGAGCTGGCTGCCGCCCAATAATACCCTGTGCGGCATGCAGCGCAACTTGGTTGGTACTCCAGGATATTTGCAGACGAGTCGCGTAACGCAAAGGCTAATCGATGGCTTTCTTTTAGCCACAGATGGCGTGCTAGAGTAGGGGACCCAACTTTGGTCTCCAGGAATGGAGAAGCTGGAATCGCGTGCTGGCAGGGAGCAGACAGATGAGCCAATATGCGCCCGCCATGGCCATGATTTGGCCCGCCAAACCCGCATATTGCCCACACCGGAACGCCTCATCAAGATCGACAGACCAGGTCAAGCCACAGCCGTGTAGCAGCAAACTCTCGAGTATCGACCGTACCGACCGCGTACATACATTATGCATACATACATAGATGCGATGGAGGCACGTGGGACCGATGCAGCCGCCGTCGCAGCCACCGTCTCGTCAACGTTGCCTCTGCTCGGCAGAGCTGTTGTGTGCGTCGCTTCGCATCGCCTGCCTTCAAGCCTTGTCAATGATCCAAACTGACGGGTAGGAATGCATCGGATCATGGCCCGTCGGTCGCTGCAGGGCTTGTACGACCAGCGATGGGCCGGGTGCCAAGTGGCTCGTAGCTACTAGTATTCCTGGCCGTCGCTGTGCATCCAACAACCCAAGTCATCATCGTGGCCCATGTGGACTTTTGACTTGTGCACATCAATAATCAGAGTCCCCTGAGCATTTATCACCATGCATAAAACGATGCTCACATGTTAAACCTCCAGCCACGAGCAACTAGACTGGACCGTGGGAGAAAGGCGTCTTTCCCGTGACGCCGTTGCACATGTTCACAAAACCTATTTTCCGATCGTCTTTCTCAGCCTCGCGAAATTTGTCGTAACTTTCAATAGCGCGCACTTGATTTCACATCTTGACAACAATCTCAACCCCCTTGTGTGGGTCTTTGCCGTCTTCAACTGTCAACATCTTTGGGTTGTGATGACGCCATTTCCTAGCTCACAAAATCGTTCGACGTGAATGGTCTGGTCGACGAGGGGGGGCATGTCGCAATTCCGTATCCCCTACGCTCTGTAGCATTTATGGAAACGCTAAAGAATGCAATCACGCCCGCTTCTCGACCCTTTTCATGCACGTCTGGGACGTCCCCGGTTCGTTTCCTTATGCTCAGCATGCTGCGTCGTGTAGAGAGAAGCAAAACCTGCTCGACGAGGGCCAGCCGCCTTGTCTGAAGCCGAGAACAGTCTCTGCTTGGTTGCCGTGCCTTTTGAATCTAGTCTCTGGCTTTATTTAGAGCTGAATGTGATGACCCTCATCTGTAGATGCTTCAGACGCAATAATTTTTCAGAATCACGCCAACCCCTGTCGTTTGTTGGTCGAGTCGTTGTCTCATATAGTACGATCACATCATTGCAACGGCCACCCTCCATGGGGGAAAATGCCCCTCAGCTCGGTGAGATGTGAATGTGAGATATTTCTAATTTCCCTCCTGCCCAATGCTTCGGTTTCGTTCTGGCTGTTGGGGGCTGGTGATTATGTCGTGTGCTTTTACAACTGCCGACTGACGACGATCCGCTCCGAACCATACGACGGATTCTCGCTCCAAAAGAGTATACCGATACTCCGTCGGACCCACGAGAAACTTGCATCATGCAATAGACCTGCAGTGTTTGTTTTCGTGCTTATTTCTTACCGCCGCCTGGGCCGCGTCAAGCCCAAAGCCCGATGACATGTCGACGGATTCTCGACCATGCCGCCGGGACGACCGAGAAACTCCACACATGACCACTACCAACGAGCTGAAGGGCTGAAAATCAGTACCTGCGATGTACATTGGCTGCGGGATAAACAAGGTGGCTGATCCTAATGAGTAGGACTCGTCCTTATCAAATGAAGGCCGGCGGGCGTCGTGGCGGGCGTCGAGGCCAGCTGGTTGTTCCTCGAGAGAAGCCGCATTTGACGAGTGTGATTGTGCACATGTATATGGATCAAATCGTCTAATCATCCAAGAAGGACACGTAATGCACTCCGCAAGCACAGAGCTCTCGTTGACATGGAGCACTCTGACGCCTTGCTCTTTCCCAGGAAGTGATGGCGTGATAGCCGGTCAAACTGGGCTTTTACTACCCTAAACATCTCACAAACATTACGGGAAGAACAGAACAAAACGAGCCATGTACTTCTGCAATTATTCTTGTGTGGAAAATAATAACCAAATACTTGGCTGCTGTTGGAGCCGTTGATCTTTTGTAGTAGCAACAACGTATATATCCAAGGACGACATAACCATGTCCGTCAGTTCAAGTAACGTGGCGTTTCCTGAATCAGTCCTTGGCACCTATGTTGTATTTTACCTTGGAGAAGAGTTCATGGTTCATTCGTATGAGCGCCCTGAAGACACGACTTACGCCAGTCTTTCTAACCTCTCCGCCGAAATGAGGTAGACATGCGGACTGGCGGAGGCTTCACTGTAGGACTGGACTATATGCCCCTAATCGCTTCTATGGAGGCCAAGAATTTACCTTTACAAGGCTAAAAAAACTTCTTGGTTAGGGGAATCTTTTGAGTGATCCAAACCCTTTCCCATTGTTTCCTTGAGGGCTAAAGCATAGGGGCCAAAAACATTGGTTTGTCCACGAAATAATGCAGCACCAAGTAACAGATTAACCCCAAGATCTAGATCTTCAGGGTCGAGAGTACAAGAGCGGATCGAGCCACGAAGTCCGTTAAAACGAAATATATAGCCGAGTCGTTTATATGTCCTTCCCGGAGTCCAACTTGCCCCGAGGAAGAAGATGAAGAAACTAGTTTGCTTGGCCAGATTGCTGTTATGGTGTTCTAGATTCATCAAGTTTTCTGAAGCCATTTCGATTTGACCTTTCGTGTAGTCGAATGCTCCAATGGAGGACAATCACTATCCAAACACAAACGGAGCTAAATAGTCGCGGGCGAACCATATTGGCATCAAGAGTGAAAGAGATCATGTATATCCAAACCCCAAATATATGAGAACGCAGCATCTCTCCAAGGGAATGGAGCCCTAGAGATGCGCGTCTAAATGAGGAACATTTGCACAAGCTGATAAAGCGGTGGTTTTGCCCCGGGAAATGTTGAGATGATAGTCGCTGTGTCGAATGAATCGATAAGTACTTAAGTAGTATAGGGTAGGGATTCGGGTGTCGATGACTACTCATGATGATGATTTGAGTAGTAAGACTTTAGTAGCCAGAGGCCACCAACACCAACGTGGATTACAGTCCATGGCAGAATGTATTTGCCTAGAAGCAAGCACACACAGATATGCTGCAGCATATATAGTGCGCGGTAACCGAACCTGATATCTCATCTGGCTGAATAGTCTTTGCCTCCCACTGTAGTTGCCCCAGGAAACCAACCGTGCAACTTCTCTACGCTGCCATATATTTTGGCGTTGGGTCATTGGCACATGAGAGTAGAAAAAAAAAATTGGACTCGAGTTTTTGGAAGCCGAAGATAAAGTAGACGCCCAATGTTGCAGAGCCAGGCGCGACAGGCGGATATCCGCGGTTCATTACCAGTGTGTACTTGGCGGCAAATACACATCTTTCCGAGAAGAGATTTTGTGTAATTCACAGTCCTCTTTTCGTACAGATGTGAGAATACATGCCATGACCCAAAAGGGCAGTTCCCTCGCTGTGGCTGCTTAGCCTGCGTCTCCCAGCACAAGTCGTAAGCTGAACCACACCACCGAATCCAAGTCGCAATACACCAATCTGCCGAGGCAAATGTGTCAAACAGTATATCCGAAGCTAGACAAATATAACTTACCAACCCCGCTTTTGCTGCAGCTTCTCTTTCTGAATTCCCGCTGCCTCTCAGACAAACCTGAATCGAACGGGGCGCCCAGCGCCATGGCCTCTGAATCGACAAAATATAGAGGTTACTGTCATTGTGGGGGATTTCGCTTCGAACTAACCGTCCCTGAAATCAAGTCGGCCACCGCATGCGATTGTCGTCTTTGCAAGAAGAAGGGATATATCTGGACTGTGCCGCCCAAAGGGAGTTACAAGGTAGTGCGAGACGATGGCCACTTGCAGACGTACGAGTCCGCTTCCTTGAGGCACCAGGTAACCACCACGCAACATTCAGCGTTTTCAGCACAATTAGTTGACCAAGCACGACAGTTCTGCGGCAGGTGCTCTACTGGTATTTCGGGCGAACATGTCGCTGGGCCGACAAAGGGTCAGATGGCAATAAACCTACTTGCTGTCCGTGAAGTCAACCCATTTCAACTAGAGTATGCTTTGCCCCCGATCTGCATGATCACCGAAACTATAGTGACGGGCGAAAACCTAAACCTATACCTCTGGATAGGCAAGACACGACCGTCACACACGTAGATGAGCCCGAGCACGCTCTCGAACCACGGCAGGATTCCCCCCCGGAGCGCAAAACACACCATCTCTTCTCCTGCCACTGCGGCCGAGTCCAAGCCCAACTACTCACCCCGGTATCCGAACAACAAGTAAAGCAGGATAACTGCAGTTCCTGCATCAGGGTACGGGGCCTCAGTCTCCCTTGTCCTTGGTGAGAAGCGGCAGCGCACTGACGGCTTAGAACAGAAAGCCTACATCGGCGTATACCCTAATAAAGACCAAGTTCGCATCCACGGGAAAGAATACACCAAAGCATACATGTACGGTAAAAAGTACGGGGCAGACCATTTCTGCGCGACTTGCGGCGTGTTTGTGTTTGCGACCGTCATTGGACCACCACTGAGTGTATTCGACAACGTGCCGCCCGAGAGAAAGGAATTCGTCATGTCGGTGTATCGCAAGAACATCAACCTGTTGCCATTGAATATGCGCTGTGTGGAGGGACTGGACATTGCCTCTCTCAATATCGACAAGACCGACTACGGTGCAGAGGACTACGAGCTGCCCGATGAAGGTGATGTAACTGGCTGATATTTTGTTTACGCATCTTGGACCCAAGGACAAGTTGTTTTCCCAGAAGTTGGCAGCACAGCACTAGATACGTGCATGTTGAGGGACAAACGGCATTGGCATTAATCGAGCTTTGTAGTACAATTTGTATTCCCTGGTAAAAAAGCCCTGTACAGTCGGGAGACGAGCTAAGGATTACGTCGCAAAGAAAAAGAAAATTGTAAGAGTCAACACCTGGATTATATTCCGAGCCTTTGTAATCGTAAAGAGTCCATCCGTTTATCCCTGTTAATTTATGACTATAGAAAAAGAAACGCTGATGTGGTTGTAAATGCCTGGGGATGCAGCATTTAAAGCAGGGTCAAGGAACCAGCAAGGGCAGCCAAGACGAAGTAGGCCGCGCCAGAGAACTTCTCAACGGTAGATGAGGCGCCCTTGACGACTGTGGAGGAGGCAGTAGCACCAGAGGTGGTGCTGGAGCCAGAGCCACCGCCGGTGTTGGAGCCGCCATTGTTGGAGCCGCCGTTGTTGCCGGAGCCGCCGTTGTTACCAGAACCGTTGGAGCCGTCAGAGCCGTCAGAGCCAGGGTTGCCGGAGCCTCCAGTAGAGGTAGGCTTGGAGGCGCCAGTGGCAGTAGCAGTACCGTTGACAGCACCGGTAGCAGTGCCGGTAGCAGTTCCGGTAGCAGTGCCAGTAGCGCTAGAGACAACGCTTGAAGACTTGGGCTTAGTCTTGAAGGTCTTGGGGCAAGTCAGGTCGAAGAGAGGGGTGGTCAGGTCCTTGGCGATGGCGAACTTGACCTTGTTGTCGGGGTTGGAGTCACGCAGGGTATACCAGAAGGTAGGAACCTTGTTGAAGAGACTGCGGCAACCAACTTCATCCCAGTAATATTTGGCGTTTTCGGCAGATGCCTTGGCCTCATCCCAATCAGGACCGGTGGTTGGCCAGCCAGTCTCTGTGACCCAAATTGGCTTTCCATTGATGGCATTGACAGTAGCACCATACGCCTTCTCAAATAGGTAAGGGGCATTTTCGATAGAATTTCCCTTGCCGTCTTCATAAAAGGGGTACTCATCGACGCCGACCCAGTCCACAGCTTTGATGACGGACTCGACGGACTTGTTGGTCCAGGCATCCCAAGTGTCCACGTGTCCCACCGGAACCGTGCTCAAAGGACTTTTTTCGAAGGCCTTTTTGTAGTCTCCAATAAACTTGAGAATGGCATCAGGGGAGTTGCCCACGCCGGCCTTGTTCTTCGAACCGGTCTGTGAATCTCTGTAAAGATCTTCGCTTCCTATGGATATTCCTACCACGAGGTCTGTGAACTTCTTGCCGTGCGCCGTGACGGCTTTTTGCAGGGCGCTAATCTCCTTATCAATGTTGTCAGTGCCCGAGGCCCAGATACCCAAGAGCAATTGGGTCTTGGTCTCCATGGCGGCCTCGAAAGCCTGGATGGGGTCGTCCTGTGAGTAGGCCTGGATGTTGGTGTAGAGGCGGACAGTGTTGAAGGTCCCAGGGGCACCCTTGAGACCCTGGGCGCCCTCCATCTCGGCCTTGAAGTCTTTCTTGAATTTGGCAGATCGGTCCGCAAAGGTTGCTCCAGAGTTGAAACCAAGAATGTTGTTGGCTGCAGCCGAGACGCCCATGGTCATGGCGCTGGCGAGGAGAGTAGTCGACAGATGCATTCTGGGCAGCTGAATTTCTTTTAATTTTGGAAAATAAATTTCTCAAGGCCCACGACTATACAGGGGAAACGAAGTAGTCTTATTTTGCGAGGAAAGTCGGTTTTGAAGGAGTGGTTTCGATAGTTCGTTCTGTGAATGAGCGTGTTGCGGAGTCTAAAGTGTTATTAACGAATTACGACGCGAAGAGCCACGAAAGCAACAAAACAAAAGAATGGCTTTGAAAAAAAGAGAGTCACAGCGGCAAAGAAAGAAACTGCTCTGGTACTCTTGGAGAGAAGGATGGATGAGGAGAAAAGGAATAGAAGACGGTGCAACGCGTGAGGCGATCAGCAACGCTTTTACCCCTGGGTGCCTTGTTTTTCTTGATGAGTAAATGCACAGCCCCGGCCCACTAATTACCGAGTTCGTGAGAAGTCTAGTTAGATGTTAGCCGCTGCGTCCAGGCCTCCAGCGGTTCGTCCCTTTGCTCAGGTAGCACAACGCCAGCTGGCCGTACGAGACCACTTTTTCCCCTGACGCCATCCATGTGCAGAGACTCCAGTCGTGGTTGGCGGTGGCTGCCCTTGTTGGAGCGGGTCAGCTTGGCCAGCCGTCAAAGCCCTCGAACCGGGCGTTTTTGGCTCATGACTGGCCAGGTCCGGCGTGGCGGCGCGATGCCCTTGTTTTTCCCTCCTGTACTCCAATCTCACCGCATTTGCTGCGCATTTCAAGGTGGCTATGGGCTGTCCGCGAGCGATACGAGATTGCAGGTAATTGCTCTGTTTTTTTTTTGTGCCATTTCGGCGATATGACTGCCAACTTCCTAGGCGACTCCATCCTCGTCTTCTGGCTCGCCATACCAGTCTCGATGGAGCCGCACATGAACCTCCAGGGAGAGCCATCGGAGCTTTCCATTGCCACCGTCATGGAGGGTAATGCATCATTGTTGTTTGATTGGTCCTTTACATCGACACGACAACAAAGGCTGATTCAGCGCCTCCACGAATAATGCTCCTGCCTCAGTCCCTGAGAATTCTCACCTTGGAGGATCTACAAACCCCCAGCACCTTGGTCGGTCGAGGCCAATTCCCGCCGATACTGGGGACCGCAGCACAAAGATGGAGCCCATTCCAGCCGTGTCTCCACTTACAGCGGGCACTCCCCGGTCCAAGGTTCTAAAAATTCTTTGTTCCTGGCGTTCGGGCGGTTCTAGCCTTTGTCAGGGCACCAATACCTTGTTTTTCCAGCTCAGTGAGAGCCACTATGTCTCAATTGGTCAGACCAGTATGACCAATGCGACGAACGGGAACTTCCCTGTGTCCATCCGTTTGTTTCAACTTTCAAGCAAGCATTGAATAACCCCAGTCTGTCTGTCAGAACGTCAAGTAAATTGACGCGACCTTTTGACGAGTAATGACTTGAGCGCACAGTACGGAGCACTCCATTGTGTAACGTATCATTTGACCCTTTTTCCGAGTTGAAGAATGAGAGCTGCTTCCTGCTCCTTGCTGAGTACTAGTACCGGGCATCATCCGCCGACTGTCAGTGTCCAGATTAGCATGGCGGTAGCCCAATCGCCAAAGCGCTTCAGCGATCCTCGCAACGGCACCCGCATTCCTGACTCAAATACATGTTCGGTATCAAGAACGACGACAACGGAATCTACCCAACCCTCACAGGGAATCTTTCCACCTTCACTCTAAAGCAGGCGCAGCTAGACCGAGTCAACAAGCTCAATCAGAGTGCACTCTGCCTTGAGCTCCCAACTCTCTAACAGTTCCACCTTGGCTGATACTTCCTTTTGAAACCCAATTCATTCGTCAATGCTAGCAGCAGCAAGTTGCTCGAAACCAGCCACCCATACTACACGAGTGCCCGTTCCAATAAGTGACAGCCAACTTATATCGTGGCCATAACAGCTAGTGACGTGCCTCATCACATGACTTGTCACATGTCTCAGCTTACATCTGCCCGCACCGACTCGTGTGGAATTCGCAAGTGCGCCTTTCAAGTTTCGCCCTCGAGAGACAAATGACAATACAAGCATAGTACAAGTATCGCGCAAGCATAACCTTGAATTATAGAAGGGTCAAGTCTGGTATGTGGGGAGACTGTGTCGGCATGTCAGCAACATGTACGGCGCAACTTGCAGCTATTATTCTTGGTTAATGTGAGACAAAGGGTAGAGTGGACAGAGAAGAAACTAGCCCTTTCTATTAGAATTCTAGATTGGTACTAATGCCTCATCATGCAGTCTAGTTGCTGCGTCTGTTGAGTGTGGTTTGTCAACACGACTTGAGAGAGCCTCGTTTACATGAGTACATCTCTATTCGGGGCCGTAATTTAGCCCAGGGCCCTGATAGATTGAAAGAGACTCGATTTGCTGAAAAGGGCCATTTCCGCCAGGCATATAATGTCTTTTGCACTAGTTACTACAGCAAAACACGCATAAATAGTGCCGCCTCACTCGGTATAAGTCGTATATATTACCGTGTCAATTATATAGCCGGGCTTGGCAGCTATAATAATGTGAGCGTATAAAAAGTGGGCAGTCGACACTTTTTTGCAGCTCCAAATACATCTACTCCATTGATTTAGATGATACTAAGACTTTGCATCAAGGACAAGTTGTGGAATACAAGAAACAATGGCAGCTCCACACCACAATTCGGCGACTAAGGAAATTCGTGATGCACATAATCATGTAAACAAGAATGTGTCTCAAAGAGGCCCTGTACCTGGATATGCCGCCAGAACGAGGCACAAGGCGAGAAGGATTCATGGAAAAATTGATGTCCAAGACGAGTATAAAAGTATACCATGCCCTTGACCTAATCTGTGTGAATAGTCCAGCAGTTCATCGCTCACAACTACCATTACCATAAGCGAAGTACCACTTTATACTTTTTTTTTTCCTTTTCCCCACATCAATTTTCACAGAAAGACATTCAGCATGAAGCACGCCGTTACTCATCAACCTCTTTCTAGCCGGATCAGCCTTGGCCATACCAGCCGCTGTTCCGGATGAAGAGCTAGGGTGCCCAACAGATGAGCCGTCTAAAGATGGCAACTCCCTTTTTAGCCAAAAAGCACTCGACATTCAGAAACAATGTCAGAAGGACCTATTTGGCGACGACAGCATTATTAAAGACATAGACCAGGCCGGCAAAGGTGCTATTTGCGTAGAGTTTGGTCGAGAGGGTATCAAGTGTCGCGCTGACATCGGCTGTCTGGACCAGGTGGGCAAGGTGGCCGACAAGTGCTTGAAATCTACCCAAAAGTCTGCCAAGCAGCCTGCAGGCAAGGTTGCAGACTCGACGGTATTTCTGGACTGTTTATGAAAGGGCATCAGCGGCGAACAAGCCCCTACCAACGGGCATCTTGGCCAGCCAGCCTTTGCCGAGGCAGTCAAATTGTTCAATTCCCGTCAGCAGGGCCCTGGTAACGGCTGTGACGCCGAGTTGCTTAAATCGGCAAACCATTACATGGACGTCCAGAATAATGGCGAAGATCCCGAGTGTCGCGATCATGTGCGAAAGTCCGCGCAGAAGTGCACCAAGTTCGTTCAAAACAAGAAGACCATCGACGGATCGGCTAAGACGGCTTTCCGTGATTGTGTCAACAATTGTTACGACACTAGCATGAGGGACAAGGAGTGCAGTACGAAAAACTAGACGGACAATTAAACTGCAGGCTGCGGCGGCCTAGCCTTCCAGCCATGGGCAGCTGCGGGCAGAACATTGAAGTTAGGGTTGGGTTCTTTCTATCAAATGCCCTTTTAGTATATACATGGACAGAGATGGAGGAGCTCTCAGTCACCTTTTCTTCTCCTTCTAGATTATAGTAGTTGACTGGTCAGCTGTGAATACACTCGTTTGGCTTGAACCTGTTGAGGGTCATCACGTCGTGAGAGCGTTGGCCTCGCCGTCTGCCCATGCCTTGACGGAGGCTTTTGTTCATACATGTACTCGTGGCCGCTTTCCTGGTAGCTGGCTGTTACCGGGGACGGTGGCAAACCTTTCTGTGTTACTGCTCATTTTGTCAAGGATATCTTGCGCTTCATCTTGGCTCTGATCTTGTGTTGAATACTTGTAGTATGCTATATATATTTTAAATATTTTCCTGGCCTTTCTAGCCCGCCTTAATAACTGGCCCGTCTTACTATCCAGCACCACCTTTAAGTGGTAACATTGAACATTGAGGGGTAACAAGCTGTTGCAGGATATAAAGGGTCCGGAACTTACTAACACACTTGACAATTCCATGTGGCGTGGCCACGCCCATTGTTTTGTGCGACACAAGCCACATGCACCTAAAACATATGGGGCCGGCAGCCCAATTGGGCCTCCCCGTACTCGACTATTGGCACGCGTATGCACTAGCAGTAGCCGAGGTGGAGACAAGGTCAGGGCAAGTCGGTGTGCCAGACCTCGGGTCAACTATCACCACATGCAGTGACCACCTCGTCACGCAGTTACCGAGAGGCTGGTACAATTATTTTACCACGCCAAGGCCGCGGCTGCACTGCATGGATGGTACTTGTCATTTTTCCAATCGAGCTGCTCTTCTTGCGTCAAACATTGCTCGTGGAGCCTGTTCAACCGGCAGAAGGCTTTGACGTGGGTTCTCACCTGGACACTCACGAGTCACATCGCCCCTGGCTGCCAACGCGGTCGACTCCGGCCGGATATCTGCAACTCCTCATCAGCCTCGATCCAGCTCTCCACCTCCGTGTTCTGCCCGTTCCACATCACAGACACCCAAAATGCCCTTCTACCCCCCATCATGGGTTCCTCAGCTTCCAGAGATCCCCGACTCCATCTCCTTGGAGACGTTCATGTTCGACGAGAGATATGGTCGCTGTCCGGTGCAACATTCTCGCGCCCCATTCACGGATGGCCTAACCGGCAGGTCCTATAGTGTTCTGGAGTTGCAGCAGCGCGTTGACCATCTCTCACGCGCCCTATCCAAGGAACTTGGTTTTGAAGCTCACCAAGGCACAGAGTGGGACAAGGTGGTCGCGTGCTTTAGTCTCAACTCTATAGACTATTTAACCTTGGCCTGGGCTGTCCATCGACTCGGCGGTATCTTGTCCTGCGTGAACGCCTCGTACAATGCCAGCGAACTGGAGTATCAGCTGAGGGATTCTGGGGCCAAGGCTGTTTTCACCTGCCTGCCCCTACTAAAGACAACAATGGCCGCGGTGGCGAGAATTGGAATCCCCGAGGAACGAATTTTCCTCCACCAACTCGCTCCATCCGTCACGCCCGGTCTCTCCAACCCCGGCCTCAAAACAACAGACGACTTGATCAGGGCTGGTGCCAGCTTGCCCTCGTGTAAGCCTGCCGATGCATATTGGCAGAAAGGGGATGGCGCAAAGAGGATTGCCTTCCTTTGCTACAGTAGCGGGACCTCTGGCCTTCCAAAGGGCGTCATGATTGCACACAGGAACGTTATTGCTAATGCCATTCAGTTCGTGGCTCATGGACGGCCCAACCGAGATTCTCTTGAGAAGGAGCTCGGGGTGAGTTGCTACACGGAAAACTGCTTGGGGCTTCTGCCAATGTCGCACATCTATGGCCTGATCGTCATCTGTCACGTTGGTCCGTATCGCGGAGACGGAGTTGTCGTTCTACCCCGGTATGACTTCAAGCTTTTGCTTCACACTATTCAGGACTTCAGGATCGAAATGTTGTACCTTGTCCCACCTATGATTCTTCATGTAACAAAGCAACCAGACGTCGTCAAACAATTTGACCTGTCGTCGGTCCGTGCAGTGTTCACGGGAGCTGCGCCCCTAAAGGAGGATACGGCAAAGGACTTTCTAAAGGTCCTACCCAAAGTGGTGCTGCTCCAAGGGTATGGACTCACAGAGACCTCGACCGTTGTCTGCGCAACTATGCCTCAGGACATCTTCTTAGGAGGATCTGGCTCACTCCTCCCTGGATTCGTCGCCCGAATCTTTACTCCAGAGGGCCAAGAGGTAAAAGAGTACGACAAGCCTGGTGAGCTTTGGGTGCATTCTCCATCTGTCGTTGTCGGATATCTCAACAACAAGAAAGCGACTGACGAGACTTTTGTAACTGCTGACGATGGATTGCGATACATGAGAACGGGAGACGAAGTGCTCGTTACAAAGAGTGAGAAGGGCAATGAGCACATCTTCGTTACGGACAGAATCAAGGAGTAAGTGAAAGATGAAACGCCTCAAGTTGTAGCGACTGTTCTAACTTCTCTTCCAGGTTAATCAAAGTCAAAGGACATCAAGTGGCCCCCGCTGAGCTAGAAGGCCATCTCCTGACGCACCCGGCCGTGAATGACTGTGTGGTTATTGGAGTTGCTGCCGACCGAGAAGGCGAGGTTCCAAAGGCCTTCGTGGTAAAAACTCCAGGCGTCAAAGGGGCCGATGGAGACATCATTGAGAGCATCATGAAGCATGTCGCCGACCATAAGAGTGATTACAAGCGACTGAGAGGTGGTGTAGAATTCATTGACGTGGTTCCGAAAAATCCAAGCGGCAAGATCTTGCGACGTTTGATCAGAGATAAAGAAAAGGCCAAGACAAAGCGCGAGCAGGCCAAGTTTTAACTTGCAAGAGTGTCTGGATAGCATCTGTTAGCAACTAGCGGCATGTCATGAATTTGTTACTTGGGACTGCAATCTCCTCTGCAAGGACCCCCGCCTCTCTCTCTATTGGTTACACTTGTCTGTGTCTGAAGGGCCATTTATCTCTTGATCTACCAAGACGAAGCAGTGAGGCGTCAGTAGAAACCAATGTTTTCTTTCGTGCGTCATGGCCCCCCTCGCGGTTTCCAATGACACTGTCGACCATCTGGGGGCAACAATCGACATTCTAGCCGAATTCTTTCGTCGAGCAACGAGTCTTTAGGCTATTCATAGAAACACGGAGAACCAAGTCTTGAACACAGTGCCATGAAAGCTGCAACTCGGGCTGGTTCCCATCTCTCATGAAGCAATCCACTGCTCGGGAAAAGTGTTCCATACAGCACTCGCTGGACTAGACCATGTCAGAACTTCGAAGAAACAATACATGGACTACAGTTGCCCTTTCGGCTTCACCGGCATCACAACCGATCCCCGAAATCGGCTAATTTTTGTAATTCGAAACTCCACCCCTCATCAACTTCTTTCAAAAACAGACGCCATAGATTATCTCTGGCAGTATGTTGGCAAGCGCCTCGACGACGATTGCCACAACAATGGCCATTGCAACGGCTGTCAAATGTGTGCGAGCGATATCGGGTACAACCACTAGTCGTCATATCCGCCACTTGGAATTTCAGCCGCAGGAGATTATATTAAAACTTCTGTAGCGTATAGGCCCTACATAATATCACCCACTACGATCCTTTTCCTCTGTTCAGCTTCGGCGCTGCCCAATCCCACAGCGAGTGGTTCGTTAGATTTAGCCTACTTGCTCCTGTCGGGTTATGTCTGGAACCTTGCTATATTCCAAGTTGTAATTTTGTAGAAACAATCGTTTGCCATAAGAATAATGCACGCATCAACACAATTACACGCTTCCGCTTGCACCAATCACCAACAAGGTATTGAACAACAGGACGGCGATTCTTTGCAGCCTGGGTACCGAGGAAAGCAGCCCATCAAACACCTGGAGAAGCATCAACGTGTGCGTGAATTTATATAGTGAAGTGCCTGATTTAATGACCGACGCTGTATATCTGATCTTCGGCCTCTTGCGACACTCGCCTTGTTTCTGCACACTTGTCATCGGCAGGACACTGGCAGTATTATGCATGCCTGTGGATTAGCAATATATTTATGGGTGCATGCATTCCTCCTCAAGTAACACAATACCCATGCAAATAGTGAGTGAGTGAGTACCCTTACAAGCCTCGTAATGCCAATCTCTTCCATGTCAAGTCATAAACCATAGCACTCAGAGGTTTAATTCCACGTATGCTGTTCTCGCTCCACCTAATTAGCCGTCTGTCGCGTCTGGAATCGAACCATCAGCGGGCTCTTGTCCCAAATAATGAAGCTTCGCTGTTTGGTGTGCCAATCATCCTGTCCTTCAAGTACGTTGAAATCGAAGCGGTACAACATGCGACTGATGATGACGCGCAGCTCATTAATCGCAAGATTCTTGCCGATGCAATCCCTTGAACCGTAGCTAAATGGCTTGAATATCGCGTGGTTATCGTTCTTGAAACCTTCATCGTAAAGTGGGTGAGAAGGGGACAGCCACCGCTCCGGGATGAAGGACTCCGGGTCCTTGAAGTGTTTGGGGTTGCGGAACGTTGCCCACTGGTAGACGGAAACCAGTGTCTACAGCATTGTCAGTACAGATGGCATACAGCAGGCCGTGGAAAGAAAGCAGGCGAGTGCACAGGATAGACTTACATTGGCAGGTATATATACCCCCTCGATAAAATCACCGGGGGAGACACGAGCGGGTGTTTCTGCGGCAGGCGGGTATATCCGGAGAATCTCGTTAACACAGGCTTGCAGATACTCGAGGTGTGAAGCGTTCTGCATTGTGATTTCCTCTTCCGCGCCGAAGGCTGTTCGAATTTCCTCGGTCAATTGCGCGTATGCCCGGGGATTCTTGTCCATGTAAAAACAGAATGCAGAGAGCGCTGACGCCGTGGTCTCACTGCCGGCAATAACAAGAGTAGGACACGTCTCGAGG